ATTAATTGATTAATTGATACATTAAGTATCATTTGCATCTTTTTACAAAGGTGTGTTTGAACTAAGAAGCTGATGTTTCGGTAGATCTGACTATATGCATGTGTGTGTGTGTGTGTATGTGTATGTTAGACTAGTTTAAGTGTTTATGTAGTTAATAAAGTCTTACTTGTATCACACTTGACGTTGTTCATTGTTTGCTCATAACTGGAGTCCCTAATCATGCAGATGTATGCTACATGCTCTGTGTAGTATTGTACAGTATGAAAGTTATTTCCCTTAACCAGGAAATTAACGTTCTTAGAATTGACAGACAGTTGACCCTGAGAGGTCAAGTAAATACTTACAGCGGATCTAAATATTTATAATTAATTATAACTAGTTATGATTAATTATTCATATTTCCCCTTTGAGCTGATTCGCTACATAGTAAACAGACCATTATTGTCTGTTGGTGTGGATGCTAAAATATTTACCATTATATTTCTTGTTCTTGGTGTAAACAGCTTTAAGTGATCTGATTTGGCCAAATTAATTGAAGATCTGATTTGTCACGTGACAAGTTAAACTTGTAATTTCCAGACTCTTGCTTCTTAGATAGATGCGTTCAATAAAAATCAATACGGAAAGAAAGGCAGACTATGAGGTGTGGACAGATATCATGTACTGTTAGAACGAGAAGAGATGGCGCCAATTTGTTAAGGTTAATAAAGAATACAATGTACTTAATATAAACTTCATGATACAAACACTTTTGTAAACACATAAACACATGATTACTTACAATGGGCACAATCTGCATGAGAGTTGAGGCAATGGCCAATGACAGCAGGAGTAAAAGTCATAGAATTTTGTATGAGTACGCTTGTACAATATCATATGAATTTGCTGACTTGGTAAATTGTATGAATTATTACTACCTCTACATGACACTTTGCTGAGTGTTCTTCCTGATGGGCTATGTAAAGCAAAGTTAAATAAACATCAAATGCTGCGCAAATGTTTTTGCAGTACAGTTCAGTCAAGGTGCTCAGACCAACACAGACGTACCATTGGAAGTGTTTTCCTTTGCAGCTTTTGGTCTTCTCCATAAATGCACAGTATGTCCAAATTCAAACCCCATGACAGGCCTTCCTTTGGTCTTCCCTTTCAGCTGAAACAAAGAGAAATATATACATGTTGAGACAGTGTTACAAATTTTCTATAACCAACATATTTGAGAGGAAGGACTGTAAGAAAAGACATGATCAACACATAATATAAGGATGTGTTCATTAAAGCAAATCAGTTATTACTAAAAGTGTTCAACAAAACCTGTGAAGGGTTGAACCTTTGAAGGACTTGTTCAGCCTCCTTGGCAGCTTCTTCGAGATCAGCATTGGGAGCTTCGAGTTCAAGTTCCCTGTTAATTCTAGCAGCTTTCTGAAAGAATTGGTCAAAATTTGATTCTGAGTTTTAAAAACATGCCATG